AGAAGAGTGTGTAACGTGCTACCACTTATGAAAATGTACATGTTTATGTATAACCATCTGTTTAAAAATAACCTGGTAAGAGTGGCTGCCTCTGGGAAGGACCGTGGAGCTAAGAGCTGAGGTAGGAGACGCAGCCTTCACTGTCATGTTTTGACTTTACACGAGGCTGTAGCACATAGTAAAAATAAAACACCCTCTTAAAAAAGTTCAAAAGGAGAAGCATGCCTTTATAATGGAGAGATTTGGAGGCCCGTCTGTTGGCCAACATAGACCACACTCGTATCACTCTAGCCCATTTTCTCTAACGCTGCAGTTCTGAGTGCAGGGAAGGCCCTACAGCAAGTCCATGCTGCAGTGAGACGCGGGGCCAGTAGCAGAAGAAACTAACTGGTGTAAAGGTTCAGCTTTTTCCACGCTTCCAGAGCTAGCCTCGCCATGCACTCAGAGGTGGCAGCACCAGCGGGCTGGTGTGAGCTCCGCAGACTTTCATGCCCCTGAGACACATGCCAACCTAGTCATGCTCCTTCCTCAGACACTGAGTCTTACTTCCAAGGAATCCCCTTTTTAATCTCAGCCTCTTCTCTTGTTCATCACTAGAGAAGCCCTAGTGATGCTCGCCGCTTCCAGAATTTACTATCTCTATCCCCTTTTGCCTTTCCAGTTCTCTAATACCTAGTTAATGATTCTTTATTGTAGGTTGTATTTGTTTAAACACTGGTATGGTTTCTCTTTCTTACTGGACCCTGTTTGATACATGAATAACTATGCATTTATATAAACAAACAGCTGCATCAAAATGTTAACTGAAATGTTTCTGAATCTAGAAAACAGGCATATTGGTGTTCATTGTGTTACTCTTCCAAGTTTTTGGTATGTTTGAGACTTTTTACAATAAAACACTGGGGATAAAGTATAAAAGTAAAATACTGAAAATTTGGATAAAGATCAGTTCCAGGAAAAAAAAAAAAAGTAAACCTGATAAAGGGTGAGTCTCCAAAATTATAGCATGAGGCTTTTGTTAGTAGAAATGATAAATAGAAACTGCTGCAGAAACCAAACTGATCCTACTATGAAAAACAAAAATCAAAAACAAACAAAAATCCCTAACCAAAACAAAAAACAACAACAACAAAAACATCTTAGTTTTCCATTTATATCTAGGACAGTTTCTTTATAATGATATGTCACAAAAATTCCAAAATTAAGCAAATAAAGCATGGCCTTTGTGGGAAAAAATGAAAAGGTTCTCTTGGGAAAACTTGTGTAACTGTGTCCTCTTACAGGGAAGAAAACTGAGGCCCAGGGTAGGTGAGGGCTGTACAGTCACACAATAAAATGAATGGAGTCCAAACTTTCCCATCGGCCATTCATAATAACCAAGTATATGAAGCAAGTCTTTTTGGTTGCATGCGACAGGAAACTAACAGCCGTGAGCAAAAGAGGGAATCTGTCAGCTCATATGACTGAATGGAAAAAAAGAAAAAACATGACTGCATTTAGGGGTGGAAGCAATGTCATAAGGGACTTATATCTTTCCTTTTCTGGGCTTTGTTTCTGCAGCTTCATCCTTTGCTGGCAAAGTTGATCCTTGGATGCTCCAGACTCAACATCCTGCTAGTTGGCGAGTATAGTATCTTCTCCATTAATTCCAGCAAAAGTATTGGAGCTGGCTCTAACTAGCCAGACAGACCGACAGTGGGGTAAGGAGAGTTCCTCAAATTAAAAAAAAGGTGCTATTATTTAAAGAAGCAGGTGAATGAATACTGAGCAGGGCAAAATAAGAGATGACTGGTCTGCCAGACCACTTGATTCCTATTCACTGAGAGCTATGGAGGTTCCACAGCTGCTAAGGAGCTGAGCTACTGCTGGAGTCCTTGCTGTGAGATTTAGAGCAGAACTGTAAAACACTAGGAAAATAGCCTTAGGTCTTTTTTTTTTTTTTTTTAAGAACAAAATACAATGAATTAGACAATCACCTTATGCTGACCTTTAAATTAAGGTAAATTAAAAGCTTCAAATTTGATTTTTTCCAAATGCTTGGTAGATACAAAAGCCAAGCTTAAAATATTTTGAATTTAGTGCTAAAAGGATTCTATAAAGTATTGAGGGCCTAATTTTTTAAAAACTGAGACATAATATATTGTAAAATTTATCTTTTATTTGGTTTTAATTTCCATTGAATGATGTCTGAAAATGCTGACCTACCCACCCATTTCAAGAGTTTTTTGTGACTTAGAAAAGCAGCCAAGATGTCAAACATCAACATGATTGAGTCAGTTTTAGAGAAAAAGCCATTTGTACCTTCTTTTTCCCACCCTGGTTTCCCAATGATTTCTTGTAGTCTGGCAGTTGCTCCAGCAGAGTTATCTGCCAGTTTTCAGCCTGCAGAGGCTCAGGTGGGACATTTTAATTTGAGCTACTAATTGGTTTTCTAGGGATGTTTAAAATCAGGTATTTGGCAAAACTGTAATGCAGAAAGTTTACTTTCAACCAGTCATGCACAGAGTGACACCTGCTGGTCATAAAGATTACGTCTTTATCTTGTCTGGCTCCTTCTTGCAATTTATCAATGACCTTAATGATACAGTAAAAATACAGGAAAATTATCTCTTCCTTGGAGAAGAAGAAACCAACACATACGATTTATATGTGCCAATATGCATACCATTGTGAGAGATTTTTAAACTAAAAAAAAATTGTTTCTTCAGTTTAGCAGATAATGGGGTCTCTTTCATTTGATCAAGGAAAATAAACTGTTGTAGAATTTGAAGATGAACTTAAAAAACCAGCTATTTCCTTTAAAACGTCCTCTGGGTTGTTTGTTTTTGAGCAGAAATGAACGAATATTATCTAAGGTAGAATTCTAGTGGACTTCATGAAAGACTGTCTATGAAAGGTCGTTTGCCTCTGGCATTTCATCCTCGTTCTGGTCCTGTGCTTTAGGTTCCAGGCTTCACACACGCACTGGCTCCCATCCTAACGCCTTCCTACCCTTAGATATGCAAATGTATTAAGCATTACACAGATTCATCCAGGTTTATTCCTTTACTAACTTAGGAAATTTTTCCAACTGCCCTTGACATTGGATTATACCAGAAAAAATTAAGACATATTTTGTAACTACATTTTTAAATGAAAGAAGGCATGTATTTATTAACAAAAGTATTTTGATAGATGATGATAACATTCAGTTTTGTGCAGACAATATAAACTTCCATTTGCAGTATTCAAGTGGCATCTGACTTTGGTAGTCATTCTGTTCCCCTCTAGGTGTTCCCTGTCCCCCAATTTTTCACTATTATAAAATGCTGTGATTACCCACCTTATAAATAAAACTTTGTGGAAATCCCTGATTCTTCTATGTGGTCAATTCCTAGAGGGAAAAGTTCTCAATCAAAGGGATATGAATAATCAATAGAGGGACTAAAATTAGTATCATAATGATAAAAAAATTAAGAGTAGCAGGAAAGGAGATGGATGTTTTATACATTCAAACCTTACTTATCATCTAGAGGAGTCAATATATAACTTCTAAAGATAAGTCAAAATTGGCATATGCCTTTGGTATATTACCTAGCTTTAGGGATAGAAGCATGAACTGTTAAAGTAAAAATGGCTAAGGAAATTGGGCAGGAAGAAGACTGCAGCTTTGCATTATTGAACTCATTTGTTTCCCAGCCTTGAGCACACAGCACTTTGATTGAACAATAAAGTTCCGACATAAAAATGTAAATTTATTGACATTAAAAACATATCTTGCCAAACTATCATTCAGAAAGAGTACATCAATTTAAATTCCCATGGGAAACTTTCTCATGGCCCCTAATTACTACAGTGTCTTCATGTCAACTTATTATTTATATTCTGGTCCATATGAAAGTTTTAAACTACATTAGAAAAATACATATAAGGCCCTGGCTGGTGTGACTCAGTCGATTGAGTGCTGGCCTCCCAACGGTAAGGTCACTGGTTCAATTCCCAGTCAGGGCACACTCTTGGGTTGTGGGCCAGGTCCCCAATTGGGGGCATGTGATAGGCAATTAGTGGATGTATCTCTCACACACTGATGTTTCTTGCCCTCTTTTTCTCCATCTCTCCCCTTTCTCTAAAAATAAATAAAATCTTTTTTTAAAAAATAAAAAAAATATATATATATAAGATATAAAATAAGAGAGGAAACTGGAGTAAAGGAAAAATAAGTGTAGGAGAAATAAGATGAGGTCAGAAGACCAATGACTCCATCAGAACCACTGCAAAGCTGGTTAAGAATGAGGATTCTTGATCATATCCCAGCCCTGTGAACTCAGAATCTCTGGCGCAAGGCTCTGGGATCGTCTTTTTGTAGCCTCTATGACTTTGAGTCCTGATGGAACTTAAAAGAAGACAAAGAGTGACTAATAGGATATTAGGATATTTATTAATGTCGTATTTAGAGCATGATAGCTAGAGGAATGGACACTGTGAGACTAACTCCGAAGAATACATTTAAAAATAAACCCTATGCAAACTAGAATCATCCCTTCTACCACTAGAACATTTCATAATCCTCTTCTGATTTCACTAACCTCCCCATAACAACCCTCACAGACATGAGAAGACTCAGCCTGTCATTTTGTCCTTTGACTTTTACTCTTAACATGAAGATGCGTGTTCTGGGTCTTTTTTGCCTTCTTGGCTCCAGTCCTTAGCCTAGTGCACCATTTTGCTGGATATCCTAGTGCTGGGCTGTCTTTTTAATGTATCACATCAACAGGTTAAACAGATATTTAGAAGAATCCTACATATTAACTAGGCAGTGGTAATATTTTCTGCTGCTTGCATTTTTATAAAACATTTGCACATGACTCATGTGAAAATTAAAAGTTAAAGATGCTAAATTTTTTAAACATAGGATTCAGTATACCAGATATATAAAAGGAAAGAGACAGAATTGTAGCTTAATTTTACAATGAAATTAAGAATATATTGAAAATTACACATTAAAAAACAAGTATATCAGCTTACAGTGACTTCTGCTGTAGCTGTAGCTTTTGTTCAATGATGTCTGAGAAACGAGGAACTTTTTTTGAAATAGCCACACGGATGTCTTCACTCATATTAATGCAGCTTCTGGATTTTGTTTTAAAATGTAAAAGTGATGAAAATCCCAATTCACAAAGGTACGTTGATGCAAATGGCATAAGGATTTCTAGAGCTGTCTTTGCCAGGTCTGGAAACACTGTGAACTGAACACACCAGAAATCCTCAAGCTTCATTGTCTCAAATTCCATTAAAATTTGGCCACTAGCTCGTAATTCGGCAAGATCATTTTTCATTAAATAACCATCATCAACAAAATCCAGGTTAAAAAGAAATGGATCCAGTATCCATTTACTCGCCTCCTCAAGATCTCCAACGGAAAAATAGCCATGGAAGGAGTTGTTTAACTGTTGGAGATGCAGTGTGATTTCAGCTGCAATGCTTCCCGCTTCGTCATCTGAAACAATTATTTCTTCAAGGAAAGGAAAGTTGGTGAAATTTCTTTTCTCAATTCGCTTTAGCCAAAATGGAAACTTCCTGACAAAAGCAGATAACTTCTCTCTAGCTGATACCGTGTTCATCCCAGTCCTTTGCATGGATGCACTAAGCTCATTTAGGTGTTTGAATAAATCTGCAAGGTAGGCTAGGTGAATTTTAAACTCTTTATTTTCAAAGCCATTAACTAAACTACTGTTTTGGTGGTGAAGAAACTGATTTATTTCTTCATACATTTCAAAAATATGGGTAAGTATTTGGCCCCGGGAAAGCCACCTCATTTCGGTATGGAAAAGGAGGACACTGTACTCTATTCCAATCTCTTCAAAAAAGGCCTGAAACAGGCGATGATTCGGAGCTCGCCCTTTGATGAAATTTATTACCCTCACGACAGTAAACAGAGCGTCCCTCAGCTTTGTAGGCAATGTCTTTGTGACAAGTTCATGAGGGTTCAACAAACAATGTGTAATCACAATATGAGGCACCTCTTTTTTCACATAAGCAACAAATTCTGAATTTTCTCCTAGCATAGATGAGGCACCATCAGTACAAACAGAGCCACATACATCAAGTCCTATCTTATGCTTCATAAAGAAGTCTCTGAAGAGATTGAACACATCCTTTCCTTTCATGGTTAACTGCAATGGTTCACAGAAGAGGAATTCTTCTATGATCTCTCTTTCTTTTATGTAGCGCACAAATGCCATCAGCTGACTGCAGTCATCCATGTCCGTTGTCTCAGCAAGCTGAATGCCCACCTGAAGAGGACTGGCTTTGATATCTTCTAGAACTTGCTGTAAGATATCCTTGCTCATTTCATCAATTCTAGAATGGATCACATCATCTGATAAGGGAACCTGCTGAAGCTTCTTTTGTGCATCTGGTCCCAAAACTATATGTGCTATTTCCAATGCACAGGGTTTCACCAATTTTTCAGCTATTGTATGAGGATTCTTCTCCTTGGCACATAAATAGGCAAACTGATAGGATGCTTGTAATAAGGCATCCTCTTGGGATGCAACTCCAAATGCTTTCAAGGTTTCGCTCTGATCAGATGGTGCTGGCATATGCTTCAGGCTATTGAGATCATGCCCACCGACACCGCCATGCTGTCTGTTAAAATGGTCAGACAGTTTTGATGGTCTGAGGTCAGCATTTGAAAACACCGAGTTACACAATACGCACTGTGGGCGTTGCGTTCCGTCAACCTCCGTTGTACAGGTGAACCAGTAACGAACATAGTCATCATCCCATTTGCGTTTCTTCGACATGGCACCCCCAAATTTTCAGGTAGTATGCCAGAGATGCCGCAGAATTTTGCTTTGGGAGTAAAATATAACCCACACATTAAAAATCAGTGGCTAACCAAATTAAAACAAAGCCCCATCACATGCCATCCTTCATCTGGATTCATGTCAAGAAAAAGCCTGTAAGATGTCAGTTCAAAGCAAGCCATGCCAGCAATGACATTCCAATGTGAATGTCATGTGAAATTTACAATGTGAAACTTACAGCTAATGTCCAGCAAGGTATACATGGGAGATTTGGGTTTATGCAAGTTGTGAATTCTCTTAAGTCCTCTACCGGTGAACTGCCGTTATGGCTTAATTTGCTTTCAAAGATGTATGTTCCAAACAAATCTGGTACATTTTGGTGCCCAGAAAGGGCATCTCATTACTGTCCCCTCCTTCCATTCTGGGCCAATAATGTATGCACAGCCCCTGTTGTGCAGCACTGAATAGAGAAGGAAATAATTCACTAAATACAATAAGGAAGGGTTGGTATTTTGAGAGAGTGGTTAGTTCCTTTTAACATGGAGTTGGTCAAAAAGTTCTTTTAGTTTTTTCCATACGATGGATCTAGTAGCACTTAGTGGTCTTTAACTTCATTCTAAACAATTGTCAGATTGTATTGTGACAGTAGTCATATGACTGTGCATTAAAAACAACTTACCAAAATTGAATTTTTGTGCAGCCATTTCAGTACTGAAGATAGAAGAAGATACACAACATTTTTAGGCATATCATGCTTTATTATTTCAAGAAAGGTAGAAATGCAACTGAAGTGCAAAAAAAGATCTGTGCAGTGTATGGAGAAGGTGCTGTGACCAGTTGAACATGTCAAAAATGGTTTGTGAAGTTTCTTGGTACTGTTGACACTTTGGCCAAATAATTCTTTGCTGTGGGGGTATCTTATGCATTGGAAGATGTTTAGCAGCACCCTGGGCTTCTATCCACTAGAAGCCAACAGCAGGAGATAGGCAACATACTCAAAATAGTCAAGTCAATAAATATATTGGTAACAATGAAAAATGTGTCTTTTATTTTACGGAAAAAACTAAATGGACCTTTTAGCCAACTCAAAAGCTAAGGGTTAAAAAGGGCTGTAAAACTATTCGATCCTTGAGGGGCTTTGACTCCAATCTAGGCAGAGGACTTCTAACAGGTCTGACTAAGCCACCCTTGACACAGAACTAGGACACACATTTGGCTCAGAGCTTCCTGCTGTTAAAGAGTAACAGACTATCAGCCCATGGTTCATACTGTCTATATAGAAAAGCAAAACAAGTTGCTTAGGAGAAACACAATTATTCTTGTTATCAAGACTTCAGAAAATTTCTCTTATTCTCTTAATTACAACAGAAATTTCATGATGCTTTTTCATATAATTATCCCTTCGTAAAAGCAGTCAAGAAAAGCTGAAACAATGAAAGGAAAATAAGCAGCATTCCAAAGATTTGGCTGAATTCAAGGCAGTGGTTTTCTAGTTTAGTAAATGGAGGAATCATCTAGGGCTCTTGCTAAAATGCCTTAAAATTCCTGGGCCCCACCCACACGAGATTCCGATTTCCTAGCTCTGGAATAGGGGCCCAGAATCAGTGTTCTCAAGAAGCACTTTAGATAATTCTTGTGAATAGTAACTAAAACACTGGAAGGTGTCTGCCAATCAATAAAGGCAACTTAAAGTTTAAAAAGCTAATCTTAAGCCTTCTTTTGTCAAGTACTGAGACTAGAGGGCCAACTGTGTTCAGAACCTCTTCTAACTGACAACAATACAACTATGATATCAACATAATAAATATGTATCTTTCTGTATTGTTATGTGCAGGGTAGTCGAATGTAGGTTTACAGTTGTAATATAAATAAATAATAGAATAACCAACTATTAATACCAGAATAAACTGTCTCATATACTCATGACTGTAAACCTGCTTCTGCCCACCTTTGTGTTTACCATGTATATTTGGAGGCGAGGAAGGCAGAGCTTTTGCCTTCAGTCTCATTAAAAGTTACAGGACCAGTTAGTTAGGCATCCATTTAACCACCCTGATTATGTTACTCAAGATTTACCTGTTTTCAACCAAAGACGTTTTAGAAAAATTCATTTATAGTATTCTTACCTAGGATAGGTAGCAAAAATGTTCAAGATCCTCAAAGATGAACTTACTACCCAAAAAGCTTTCGTGAGTTTTAGAACCTTACAATTTCCACTCTGCCCTTTGTGGTACACTTTGTAGTCACAATGTTCTAAAATATGGAAACATTAAGAAAGCATCATCGTAGTACGGCGTCATTGTTTATTTAAACAGCTGTGATAATGGTATGATCGTGTTTGAAAAAAAGACCTCATTTATTAGAAATACAGACTCAACTATTTACGAGTGACATGGTAAGATGTCGGGGGTTTCCTTCGATATAGTGAACTTCGGCACGCACGCGCGCGAACACGAAGGGCGGGGGTTGGGGAGATAGAAGAAATAAGATCGGCCCTGAGATGTTAACTATAGAAGGTGGATCATCCGATGGGTACACATATTCAGTTTTCTATTTTTATGTATGCTGTAAAATTTCCACAATAAACAGGAAAATAAGCAAACAAAAAGCAATATCTCATCAAGATAGATGTCATTATTTTTTTAGGATTTTTAAAAAAATATCTTAGGATGCAAACTCTGATAAAACAAAGTAGAATGTTTTTGCAAGTCGATCAAGTATAAGGGTAGCTACGAAAAAGGTTCACGATTGAGAGAAAAAATAGTTAAAGGTGAACATTCCCATAACAAATATTTGGGGAATGCTAACACATACACATTTCGGCAGTGACAACACCCCAGCGCAGTTGAAACCTGAAACTCCAAACCAAATTCAACTTCTGTCTAGCCTATGCCAGGTTCGGGTGTCCGGGCAGGCAGCGGATTTAATCATTGCAGTTCACTGTTAAAAGCAAATAGCCAGGGGGAAAGGGACGAGCAAATGTTCCAGAGGCAAAAGCCTGTGGTCCTGGCTTTGTCACTTACAGACTGGGTCCTTTCCAAGCCTCAGTTTCTCAACTGGGGATGACAATAGTACCTACCTGATAGGCTCGTTGGGATGTTTAATTATGAGCATGTGTGGAAGGCACACGCAGCTCGTAAGTGGCAGCAAGGACCTGCTGGTTATTAAGGACGCTTAGGAGGCTGCCCCGGCCAGCGCAGGGCGCCGGCGGCGAAGAAGGAAGACTCGGCTCGGTCTCCACCCGCCCCTCTCCGAGCCCGAGGCGCAGGCCCCAAGGATGCTCGGGCTTCCTTTAGGCGCCAGTTTCAGGCTCCAGGTCCCTTTCTGCTTTGGCCGGGGCCTAGTCCCTGGGCGCCGGAACCAGTCTAGGCGGCGGTTCCTTAGATGCGACCCCAGAGCAGGAACCTGCGGAGAGAGGTGGCACAGATGCACCCGCAGCCACCTCCTCCCTAGCCGCGCTGGCCAGGCTTCCATCCGGGTTCTGCGGCTGGCTTCCCGCCCGCAGACGGGGCGCGGCGACTCCCGGCACGCAGGCGCATTAGCAGCGGCCCGGGGCCCTGGGGCTTGGATCAGGAGCATGCGCGTTGGCTCTCCCCCTCCGCCCTTCAGCCCCAGACCACTTTTTTTGGAAGATTGTGTTCTTGGAGCTGGAAATTTTCCCCTTCATTTTGTCTGCCAGAAAGAATGCCAGAAAAAAGAATGGAAGGAATGGAAGGCACTGCAAAGTCTCATAGCTCTTCAGAGCTTTGGAAATAAAATTTTAGAGCGTGTCAGGTTGAGCTTGTAAAACTCCAATAATGTACCATTTGCTGTGTGGAATCAATGACGAAAAAGAGAAGTTCATTGTTCTCCCAAATTACACATTCAGGCCAACGGAACAGGCTGTACAGTCCGTTAAGATACAGTGGAGGACGCGCTTCCAGGGCTCAGGTCTTGCCCATGCAGGCCACCCCCAACCCCTTCCTTAAATTGGAGCATGTGGACTCATTTCCTGAGAATCGTCATCTCTTCTAGAGAGAAGATTTTTATTCATAATTCTTTTTAACAGTACCATAAAGCAATAAACCTAGATGGGAGATACTTTAGAGAGAAACTCCAAAGGAGGAACCAGAAAACACTGTTTAAAGAAACAAACCCAGTTACAGCCCTCTTTCCTATGTGGGGGATATTTTCGTCCAGAATTCTTATATGCTTAAGGAAATGGCACTTTATTCATTTCTTTTCTTTTCCTTTTTTTTGTATAGTCAATCTTGTCAGAAGCATCCCACAAGGCTGAAGGGCCAGGGAGTGCGTAAGAATGCAGGACAGATGTCTCCTCAGGTGTTGGGGGTGAACTTGGTACAGACTGAGGGCCTGCTCAAGGTTTCTGTTAATGGAAGAAATTGCCAAAGACCCGTCTTTCTGGCCCCAGAACCAGGCCTTACATACTAGAGAAAGGAGTGGGCTTTAGAGTCAGAGATACTCTGGTGTCATGTCCTGGATCCAACATTGTAAACTCTTAGACCTTGAGCAAACTACTAGGAGTCATTAAGTCCACATGCTTAATTTTGAGATGTTATACATAGAAATTACAGCACATATAACGTAACTCCTATATATAGGAGTTCCAGCACTCAAAAGGCAGCTATTATTGAGATAAAATCAAAGCACATGTCTTGAGAAATATTCTAGGTATTACCTTTCTTCCTAATTGAAATGCAAATAAGACATGATTTCAGATATTACAGAATTCTTCCTAAAATCAGTAAATTAGGTTTCACAGGAGTGGGAACAGAGGCCCAGGAAGGGCAGGTGACACATTTTTTGAGGAAAAGGACCCTGAAAATTTCTGATTTCAAACTCACAAACTAACCCAGGCTCCCTCAGAGCCCTATCAACCACCACTTTTCGAGCAGGTATTTGAAATAATGCTATAAACCATTTCATACACACTCGAGTATTCTTAATTATATATCTTTATTAACAAAAGATAAATAAGATACAAAATAAACGCCAGTCTCAGACTTTGTTGAACTATGTTAAAGTAGGATAACATACGAAAACAAATTTTTGACATTTTTAAAGCAGATAAGAATTAGATCTACTTGCATTGCTGTTTTAATTTCATGTCAGTCTGAATCTAGATACCATAGAGTACCTAGATGGATAGTATGGATACCATAGAGATACTCACAGTACTTGACAATTAGGTTCAGTTACTCTCCCACTAGAATTACTTCTGTATATGTGCTGCCAAAGAGAGCACCAGAATTATTTGTGAGATACTAACTTTATGCAGTATCTTAGATTTTGGTAGCTCAGAAAATCCAACCATCTGTTAAAAATCAATGTACCCATGTCAGAGGTTTGAGACCCGTTTTTCCCCCTCAGGGACCCTCTCTCGTTGTATTATTTTCATAATGTTCCTAGGAGAGTCCTGAGGACCATGGCAATCTAGTAGCCCTACAAGGAGGTATCCTTACAGTTCTTTTAAGAAGCCTTCAACTTCGGGTTTTGCTTTTGCAAATTTTACAAAGTGACACCTGCTGGATACAAAGATTAGGTACAAGGGAATTCCACAAGCTTTTAAAATCAAATTTAATATTCATGATTGTTACATAAAGGCAATCACAGTAAAAAAAAAATAGTATCACAAACTATATCCTCTATGATAATGGAAAAGATTTCTGTGTCTAAAGGCTCATGTCCAGAATGGTAAAAGGCCTAGTAATTATTGGTCAACTCTGATTCAAGAATGAAAAAATTGTTCTTTTTCCATCCAAAGGTTAACATAATTAGTTCTTGGTGTAAGACACAAAGAAATACTTTAAAAATCAAAATTGTATAAACACATGAAAAACAGAATTATTACCACAGAGGATAAAGTTATTCACATCTTTTACAAATTTTTTAGACTGAATTATTTTAGCTGCAGACCAGGAAAACCTTAAAAGGCAACAACAAATGACTGTGAAATAGCTACAATTATAGTTACTACTACTGTTAAAAAATGAAGCCCTGCCCTGGCCAGGTGCCTCAGTTGGCTGAAGTGCCAACCTGAAGACCAAAACGTTTCAGGTTCAATTCCTGGTCAGGGCACATACCTAGGCTGCAGGTTCCTGCTGGTGTGTACATGCAGGCGGCGACCAATCAAGGCTTCTTTCTCACGTCACGGTTTCTCTCTCTCTCTCTCTCTCTCAAATCAATAAACATAGCCTCAGGTGAAGGTTAAAAAGAGTAAGAGGAAAAAATTAAAAAACGAATACTAAGTTTTGAGAAAGAGTAATCTACCTTTAAAATGTGTTCAAACTCTAGATAAAAGTGCCATAAAAGTTGAAAGAATAAAGTTTAAGACATAACTGTTGAGTGGAAGACAGTCCTGAGAGAAAGAGAGAGAGAGTGCGGGAATGGCTGCACGCACAAGGGAACCGGGGCCTCTTTCCATATCATTAATATAAAATTGAAAACAAAATCTTCATCTGCACGTAACGTGCCACTTCTTTGTTTTTCTTCTGTTTCTTCAGTGTGGAAAGAAATACATTTACTATAAGACTTCTGGAAGCTTTATTAAAGCCAGGCAGCAAGATGAGCAGACACTGACTTTTCCATCTACAATCATCGGCAAGAAGCTGAGAAGAGTTTATCATCAGCCGTGTTCATCATGGGTGACCGTCTGTGACGAGTGACTACTGTCCAAGGAAAGAGGCCATGGGGTCATCTGGCCTCTGACGCTTCATTCTATAGGCCTCCATTTCCTCCTCCGTGGGCTCCCGAGTTTCATATACGCTATTGTAAGGCCGCTTCCTCTCATCGACCTGCAAGAGCTCCTTGACGTGAAGAAGGCGGGCCTCCTCTGCATTCAACGCCTGCGGTGAGAGGAAACCATGAGCGCCGCGGCCCGACCCCAGTTCTCGCCTGCCCCCGAGCGAGTGGCAGAGCAGCAGAAGACCCAACTGAGTTAGAATTGCTCCGTCAAGAACCTAGATTACCTGAAAGAGCCCAGGAGTCAGCCCTTCCAATACTAGGCTGCAGCTAATCACTATTTGGCTCATATGATTATTGCCACAGAGCCCAAAACATTCTACAATATTTTTAATGCTAAAGAATTTTTCTTAAAAGGGTAAACGGGGGATAAATGGTGATGAAATGAGACTTGACTTTGGATTGTGAACACACAATACATTATACAGATGATATATTACAGAATTGTTCACTTGAAACCTATATAATTTTCTTAATCAATGTCACCCCAATAAATTAAATAAGAATTTTTTTAAAAAGCATGAACATTCATGTTGGGTGATTATGATGCATCAATGCAGGTTCATCAGTTTTAACAATATACCACTCTGGTGGGGGATGTTAATAAGACGGGAAGCTATAAATGAGGTATCATAGGAAATGGCTGTGCCTTTCTCTTAATTTTGGTTGGACTTAAATTGCTCTAGTAAAATAAAGGGTTTTAATTAATTATTTTTTTAACTTAATAGCAAACATTGAATGACATTCATTTTACTGACAGAAGCCCACAAGTGATGTTCCTGGTGGAAACTGTAATTCTGAGTTTTCTCAAGGACTTCAAACTTAGAGATTATAGAGCTAAAAGGCAATTCTTTCTGGGAAACATGTCAATATCTCTAAAATTACAGCTTTACAAAGCATGTTTCGCCTGTACATTAGTGATATTTGTCAAACATTTGAAGAAGCAGGCAATACTAAGACACAAAATCTCCATACGCCTCTAGACCTGATACAAGGTGGCGTGAGCAAATCGTTCAGGATGGGAACTCATTTCATTTTTAAAATGAGCTTGGACATAGGACTAGATAACTTATTTCCTAAGATCCCTTACCAACAAGAAATACCATTGTCATTTTTATTATTTAGACTTCACAAAGTACCTTTTTCAGTTTTTCATGTTTCTTTTCTTCGTCATCACTATCTGAACTGCTCTTTCGATGCTTCTTCTTCTTCTTCTTTTTCTTCTTTTTCTCCTCTTTTAGTTTTTCCTGATGCATCTGACAGAGAAGATTAAAATACAGTGTTATTAAGCAATAACAAAGCAAGTTTTAAATCCCTTAGGGGTTTAAAAATTCAGGGCTTACCTCCATGAGGGTTTGGGGTTTTTTCACAGATTCTTCTCCAGTTACATCATTTACAATACATTCCTCTGAATTCTGTGGGAAAATATATGTAATTGGACTTGAATATCATAGTTATCAATTATGCAACAAAAAGTTAAAATTTGAAGCATGAGGACATATGTTTCATACAGATTTTGACTTAAAAGCTTTGTTTTACAGCTCTAAGAACTACAGGACAGTTACTCACAGCAATCTCTTTCCCAGCTTCTCCAGTACAATACGAATACTTGATAAAAGAGTGACAGCATTTGTATCCCCATCGGCCTTCTTTCCAGTAAGATCCCCAGATGTGCTGCAAAGAGAAAAAGAGAGTTAAGAAAGAGATGTTACTTAAAATGGAACTTGAGCCTGGGCTGGTGTGGCTCAGTGGACTGAGCGCTGGCCTGAGAACCAAAAGGTCACTAGTTTGATTCCTGGTCTGGGCATATGCCGGCGTTGTGGGCCAGGTCACTGGCTGGCGGAGCGCAAGAAGCAACCCATCGATTCTATTGCTCATCGATGTTTCTCTTACTCTTTCTCCCCTCTACAGATAAATAAATAAAATCTTGGGGCGGGGGGATAACACCCTTAAAAAAAAAGAAGGACCTTGAACTGGGGACTGTCATACACTGTTCATAGGAGTATAAAATACAGCCCTTTTAAAGGTAGCATACGAGGACAATTATGAGGATTCCAGAGGTAGCTGACAAAAAGGTCGGCCTGACCTCAAGTATGAGAAACAGGCGTTACAGTACAGTGGTTTTATATTCTCCCCAAGACGTATTTAAAGATTTAGGGTATGTGACTTCTCTTGAAAAATTAAGGACTAGGAAATTCTGGGCCCACATTCCTGCTGGGCAAGAATTAGCAGTTGATGAACAGTGAATGCTCCTATTACACAGGGTTTGTGCGCTTTGCTTTGTACAATGTGCCTGGCTCACTTCACTCACGTATGTTTACTGGCCTGGCTCCTATAGGTTAAATTTTTAACCTAACTTAAGAGAGACAACTGTAGTTTGGATGATTTAAGAGTAGAGCAAGTGACACTATATGCTTTATGATGTGATGCAACATGAAGCATTCTACATCACCTGGGGAGTGTTCTTGTCAAAATATTTAACATATCTAATAAGGGCTTTAAATGTGAATTCCTGTTTGTAGGAAATAGAGGGAATAGAGAACTAGTTACATAATATCACCAAAAAGCAGTTAACTACTGAGGATAAGATAGTTTACAAGATAACTGGCCTGCTCTGTTGAACAGTCACTGCTATGAAAAAGGAGAGATACGCTCTAGAAAAAAGGGACATAACCACCAAGTAACAATCAAAATAAACTCTGACTGGATTCTGACTCACAAACAAACAAACAAGGCTCCAAAGAGCTATTTAAAGGTATTCTGGAGTGCATTTTGGAAAATGTGAGACCAAGAGATTAGATGATATTATCAAGGAATTAATGTCAATTTTCTGAATTGATATTGTAGCTATAAAAAGGAATATCTTTAGTTTTAAGAGATACATTATATAATTTTTATGGGTGAAATGTTATAAAACCTATAATTTCCAAATGTTTCAATGACAGCATATATGGCAACATGAAAAAAACAATTCTGATTCTAGTGGTGGGTATATGGGTGTTGAACAGTCTAGTATTCTTTTACATTTTTTTTATTTTTGGATAAATTCACAAAGCAAACTTAAATGTTAAAAAAAAAAGCAAAGCAAAGCACAGCAATGACTCAGTATTGAAGCTGTAATATAAAGATACGATCCAGAGCAATATGCTTACAAGGACACGAAATGGTTCTGGGTTAACACATACTGTGTGATTGTGGATCTTCACATCCTCCTCATACTTTGAGCAGGCAACAGCCCGCTCCTGCCCTTTAATGACTGTCCCGTGCCTTGAATACTCCACGTAGTCTTCCGTCTGAGCTAAAAGCAGTTCCGCTGGAGGGGCATCCAAATGTTCTTGGCCACCATACTAAAAGGACATTGAACATCATTAAATAAATTTTACGATAAAGATTTGCATTTAGCTCTTTACTGAAGGTTTATTCCCAATCAGAAAAATTAAAGGAGCACTCTTTATGGGCCTTGTTATCCATAACACAGTGGAAAAAAAAAGTCACCAAATTTTCATAGACAAATACAAGATGCCTCAGTTGCAATTTATCTGTTAAATGAGGCTATACTATCCTCTGCCCTGTACACATGCCCATTTGCCATGACTTTGATGCTCCTTCCCTGAAGAGGGAGAGTCTGTTTCTCCACTCCTTGTATCTGTGTGTAGCCGCATGACTTGTTGTGGTCTATGGGAAACCTGCATGTGGGATGCACACAACGGTCTGGAGAGCACTTGTGCACTGGGGCACAAGTTTTGCTACTAGTCTCTGGTGTCCTGAGAATGCCGTGGACAGAAGCTAGACTAGCCTACTCAGGAGGACAGCCCAGGTGGGGTGGAGATGAACTGTTCCAGATGAGGCCCTCTTAGGACAGCCTGCCTGCTGTCAGCAACCAGAGTGACGCCGCCTAAACCACCCAGCCTCAGGTGAGCAGGCCCAGACCAATACAGAATGAAAAAAAAGAAATGTTCATTGTAAGTTGCAAAGTTTTGAGGTGGTCTGTTCTGCTACCAAAGCTCAGCGATACTGCTATACTAATACTGTTTGCCAAATGATTAAATCAACAGAAAGGACCATTCCTGATGGATTAAAAGGGACTCTCTTCATGTAATATTTCAAGTGTAGATCAAATGCTTATTAACTGGTAATTTCTCTTTAGAAAAGTTCTTTAGCATTTTTGTCAAAATTACCTTTTCCAGGATGCTTTCTTTCTGTTGTTCTTTGAAGTCTTCTTTTTTGACTTTGAAGGACTTGTACAGCAGTTCTAGTTTGGTAGGATCGGCCTGCAGATGCACTTCAGATCCCTTGTCATAAGCTTCCCATGCAAACACTAGGGCAATTCAAAACATCTTAATAAGTTGTTGGCTACATGGTGTTTTATAAATGCCCCCAAAGCTCTTATGAGCTGGTATAAAGTCTTGACAATACAGCAAACACTTACACTGTGTCTGAGCCATTGAAATGGTATCACCTGTGTATCTAACAAAGTTATCTCCTGCATAGCTCACTCTGTAAATACAAATTGAAAAAAAATTGTTTCAGAGATTGATTTAAGGAAAATTTATTCTTTTCTGACCCAACCATAGACGATATTCATTTTAATGCAGATAGTGTTTTACAATTAAGTGCACCCCACCCCCATCTTGAAATCTGTACATTTAACTTAATACTTACTCATCTGGATTCTTCCCTGCGTTGGCATAGGGATTCTCTCTCATCGCTCTAGTTTTGGGATCATAGTAAGCAGAATTTGGATCTAAATTCCGCAAATACTAGAATAGAAAATGGTTAAAGACTGTATTAATGTTTACTTCCAACAAAAAAATTCCAGCAGACTAGCCATTGATCACAATCAGTTCTATGTGTGAATGCATTCTGGGGCACAGATGAAGAAAAGAAAACCGCAACCACAACGACACCTAATTTTGGAATGACTGACTACATTAGTCATATAATGCCCAGATATCAGAAGAGTAGGTAAATTTTAGGCTAGAAAGGCAAGTATATTTTTAAATGTGCACATTAGGTTGGCCAGGCTTACTTTTGCAATATCTTCACGGATCCTGAGATTCCGAACAGTAATCCGTCTCTTAGAGTCAAAGTTTTGTCCAGGCATGTCAATATCATCTGCATATTTATCTTCATCCTCATCTTCACTATTATGATCTTTTTCCTAAAAGGAAAAAAAAAATAGTAAAAAAAGCAGAATAGCATTTAGTTGTTTTCCTTTCATTTCTCTTTAACCATACCCTTATTTGCTTGTGTTCTTTAAAGCTATTAACTATGTATTAATATAATTAGTAATAATTATATTATATTAGCCATCAGAAACTGAAAAGTCTAATGTTTCCCCAGACAGGGCAAATATTCATTACCATCTGAGAATTTGGTTCCTCCTCTCCCCATTGGTGTTTTGGAGAATTCTGCATCAAGACAGAAGGAAAAAAATTGTTATTTTATTCTACTGAATCTATTTATTATTTAACATTTTAAAAACAGTTAAGATAGTCTTGGTGGCTCACTGGGTTAAGTGCTGGCCTATAAATCAAGAGGGTACCAGTTCAATTCCCAGTCAGGGCAAATGCCTAGGTTGTGGGCCAGGTCCCCAGTTGGGGGCATGTGAGAGGCAACCGACTGATGTATGTTTCTCTCTCACATTAATGTTTCTCTACCTTTCTCCCTCCTTTCCCTTCTCCCTAAAAAAAGAGAGAAAATCTTTTTAATAAAAGGGGGGGCGCAATGGGGGGAAAGAACATTCATTATATGTTTGTTTGTATTTACATAAGAAACTCTGAAAGAATCCACAAGAAAAATATAAAAGGTTATGGGGAAATGAGTTTAGAAATAGGGTGGATGGAGACAGGGAGAGACTTTTTGCTGCACATCTTAAATTGTTTTGAGCTCTGATCCATGTGAACTTATACAAAAGTAAGTAGGTCTATGTTTAATGACACAGAGGACAAATCATCATTGCACTATATTTTGTTTCACTGAAGGAGCAAGTTGAGTACATGAGTATGAAAAGATAAATCCACATTAAAAACATGTTATTGTAATTACACACGTATATAACGTGTGTGGGGGGGGAGGGATGTGAAGTGCGACCTAGAAAGACCTACTTCAAAAAGTTAGTAGTTAACAAAGGGGATATTTATTCCTTATAATTTTTCAATTTTTATTTCACTATACTACTTGCAAAATCAGAAATATTAAAAAAATATTTTGGAGTTCCCATAAGTTGCTAGTTTAACAAAGAACATGCGTATTGCTATACAGATAGCCACATCTCTGTAATGCAGACTGCTCTACTATATGTAGTTAATCTTAATATCCAAGTTCCCAAGTGGGCAAAAATTATCAGTGCTCTACATACATTAAAGAATGCTTACTGGGGAAATAAATTATACTATTTTTATAACAGAGAATATGTTAGATAAAAAGAAACAGGCCATTTTTCTTTTTCCAAAGTTGGTAATAATCATCACAACAGCTACTAATTACCAAGTGTTTACTACATGATATTTATGCTAAGCCCTTTATGGGGTAGCCTGCTTTAGGAATGATAAACTGAGGCCCAGAGAGGCAAATTAATTTTTCTAGGACTACCTCATTAGCCAGGGGGCAAAGGTGGATTTTAACATCTGTTAGCTTGTGCTGTGAACCTGCCTGAGAGTAGTCTCAGTGACTGTTTACTTGGTGATTAATAGTTACTTAGTCCTGTTTGCTTGTAGTCCATACTTCCTAAGAGTCCCATTTGGGAATTTAAACATCAAATGATTACTATTTATGCCATAAGTTTTTAAAAAATAAATGACTATAACCCTAACAGGCACAATATATGTTAACTATTAAGTTGACATGAATAAAAGAAGAAACAAATTGGCTGCAATATATACATATGTATGTGTGTATATATATATATATATTTTTTACTATGAAACTTTTTTTGCCCAGCTGTAAAATTATCACATGTTCATTATGGAAAATATTTTTTTAAAAAACAGAATACATAGAAAAATTCAATACTCCACATTAAACGAAAACTGGTATTCCGGTATTTTTTTTCTATGTGATAACATCATCATATTTTTTCATGTGTCACTAAAATGAGTTATCCTGTGTCACTAAAATGAGTTATCCTGTGTTATTACAAGATCTTGATAAAAGTCACTTTGAGAACCAAGCAACATTCTATCATGCAGATGCAGGATAGCTTACTTCATCAATTACCTATTCCCAGATATTTAAACCATTTCCATTTTTGCTATTGAAAACCTTGCTACAATGAACATCTTTGTGTATGATGATTTTTGGGAATACTAGAAAATTCTTTAGGATAGAGAATCTGCTAACTTAATTCCAGAAAAGGTATACAAATATTTTATGGCAATATTCTTTCCAAAATGATCACATCAATTTTTATTTTCCTGAATGCTATAAAAGTGTCACTTTTATTCTTCTCCCTCAATAGCAGAAGATACAGAAATTCTTGTTTCAGTTTTCATTTACTAAGATATGAAGTTTTTTTTATTGATCATTTTTATTACTTACAGCCTGTTCCACTAATTTTCCCGAGGCCAATTCTTCTTGGAGTTTCTGGGCTTTCAATGTTCGTTTTGCCTAACCAAAAACAAAACAAAACATTTGCAATTTACTTAAACATTCAAGTGAACATTCAATTTTTGTAATATATTTAAGAGGAGTAAGTCTATTGTTTTCAGAAAAGGTCAGCGGACAAGGTCATCTCTTTGTGATTTCCTGGAGCTCTAGACCTGTGTCTCTCTAAGGAACAGCCGTTAGAAACTCCTGTTTGAACCAGGCATGAATGGAAATTGAGCGAGACAGCACCTGTGAGAAACTGCAGAGAGAAAGCCCTATTGAAGAGGGGCAGCCACCTGACGCCAGATGACTGGCTCTTGCCAGGTAGGCCCAGTATTACCATATATTTCACTCTTTGAGAGAAGATAAAACATAGATTATGTAAAATCCATGCTTTTTAAGTGTTAACTGCCTCTTGGAAAAAATTAAAAAGCAGTGCGACTATGGTTTTTACAGAATAGGGATGAGCAGGTGAAAACATAACAGAAAAAAATTGAGGTTGAATTAAAGTGAAATTCAATTTTCTGAAACAAGTTTCCTAGTCCCCTTCTACCACCCTCAAATGCTGAGACACTGTAAAATAGGCCCACAGGCAAAATATAGCCTGGGAACCAATTTTATAACCTCAAAAAACCAAAAGCTTTGGACACTATAATCTGCTCTCACATTTCCAATATTTTTTGCAACCTAAGCCAGGGAGTAAATGACAACACAAGAATCAAATAAAACAAAAATTGCTGCCAAATAGGGCTAGCGCACTGTTTATGCTCACTATTCAATTATGCTTACATAAAAAATGCCACCATTTTTAAACTGCTTGAAGAATCAAAAAACAGAGTTGCTAAATTAAAGATACAGCAAATTATACATTCTTTAAGAACACTAGGAAAGCAGGAATTTTGCTCACCAGATCAACTTTGGCATATTCTTCTACAATTTTCATGTGTTCTTCTGGATTGTAGCCATTCCACCGATCCCTCTTCCCATCATAGTCAAACGTCAGCTGAGGCTGGACATGTTCGTCTGGAGCTATATTAATCCCTGTAAATTTTGCTCCAACTCGCCTTGGTCTCTGGAAAACAGAGTAAGATTAAGTCTTTCCCTAAGTACCTATATCCCAGAGGAAAATTTCATACAATGTTTATAGAGCAGGTGTGACCGTATCGTGGGACTTTTTATGGTCTATTTAATAAAATTACCAGTTATTGACTTCCAGCAGAAAAATTTAATGATGTTGAATTGAGATTAATTTCATGGAAATTAATTTTTATTTAAGTGATAGGTAACAATAGGTGATTTTAGAAAAGAAGAGTTAAGCCCTCTGACAAGGAATAAAGAAAGAAGGACTCTGACAACAGTTTCCTAAATTCTCGAAGATGAATTTACCTCAAAGCAGTCTTTCTTTTTGTGAGTCATGGCCCCACAATTTTCACATGCTCCTTTGCGGTACTTAGTAGCTATGGAATTCTGTAAGTGAATAAAAGAAAAACAAAGAAAATGTTTTATTTATCTGAGTAAGTTAGGAATAACATTGGCTTTCATTATATTGTCTAGTGAAATGATTTGTTAAGAGGATAAGTTAGATTCTCTACAGTTTTATAAATGAGAAAGTTTAAGGACTTCAGCAATATAAAATTTATAAAACACAGGAGCTAATATCATATGTATTGTGAATTTTAATGCCAGATAAAAAATTATGTAACCCATTTCTACTTTATATAGTGTTGTATTAACAGCTGTTATATTAAGTTTTAAAAATAAAATCTCCATTTACACATGGATACACACACATACATACATATATATATGTATATATATATAGTTAGTGCCTTCATACCTCTTTCACACCCCTCTTGTACCACTCTCCAGATGAGCTGTACTGCCTCTGTTTTTCTGGCTGTGGTCTCTGGTGCTTTAAAGTAGGTCTTTTTGATGGATCAATATACCATGGCACTGAAGAAATATACTGAGGAATATGAGGGTTGATGTCTCTGTAATAAAATAATTTTTTTTAAAGAATAAAGCTTAAAAATAATCGATATTACAATTACTAAAGGTAGCTTATACAGAATCTGAGGATAGAAATATTGCAGTGGGGACGGGGAGGAGAGGATACACTTGTTATCTCTATAATAAAAAAATAAAAATAAAAAATAAAGTAATTTAGAGTGAAAAAATTTCCCACAAAGAAACTAAGAATAGTGATATAACTGAAGGTGGAAGAGAGATGTTAATTTTAGTGAGATAAATCTTGTATCAGAGTAAGAGGTAAACTAGTAATGTCTTAGAGTTGATTAAAATAATGGGTTAAATATATTACTTAGACATGTGGATGTATCAGCCAGAAAAACTAGGAAATACAAAGATTTTTAAGTAGTCAACTTTTGTAAGTGGGATAGGAAGTAGAAGGGTTGAAAGGGACGCTAGTGTTCATTTTAGGTCCTTCAATATTATTCAATATCCGTCAATATTATATGTGTTTGATAAAATAAATAAAACAAACATGATATAAATGGCAAAAATAGCTTCCTGTCAAAGGATGAGGAACTGATAAAGAAGACATAAATCTGAATTCTGAATGAACAGATCATGCAAAAAATTACTTACTTTCCTTCTTCATCAACTTCTGCAGGAGCATTACCCAGTTTTCTCTGTTCTTCTAGCTCCTTCTTCTTTCTCCAGTCCTCTCTGGTCATCTTCTTTGGTTCTTCCAAACTCATTTCTTTGGAGCCCGACAACGGGGCAGCATTAGCTGCATCCACAGCTGCAGCCGACATTGTTATCTGGCTTCTTCTGTGAAAAGGAAGAAACCTGTATTGGTGTAAACAGGCCTTCACAAGTTCATCAGTGAAACTATAAAAATTACCTGCTAATGACACATACTCTGAGTAATAAATAATGTTTTGTATGTTCTCATTCTTTCATAGTATCTGTGAGGAAAGGGCCTCTTCCCCCTAAATAAAAGCTTCTACTATTGTAGTTATTTTCTCAATTTTAATTTACAAATGAAGAGACATACACATGTATTTAAAAATTTAAGATTCTCTCATATACATTTCTGAATTCTCTATGTAAATGTTAAACTTTCCTACCACACTAACTCTTAATGAGTAAACAGGGTCCGATCTTTGTTGTCCTTAAAGACTGAATGCCTTAAGAGTTATCTATATTTATTACCTCTACTTCCCTCTTCCCTCTTCAATCAATCTAACTTAGCTTCCAATCCTTACCACTCTGAAGAGTTACCGGGAAGTTATCAGTGGCCATTCTTTTCAGTTCTGTTCCCTCTTTGATGTATTCTTATCCCTTGGCTTAGGGGACACTGTATTCTGGTTTTTCTTGTACCCCTCTCGCTGCTCCTCCTGTCTCCTTTGTAGGTTTATACATTTCTGCCTAGTTATTTAATTTTGGATTCTGCAAGGCTCAGTACTACAGCCTCTTTCATCATCCTGAAGACCACTAGTAGGACATGCACATCTATTTCCAAGACTTTAGTAGCCACAATACACCACTGTTGGCTCCAATTTATGTCTCTATTCTAGACCTTTTATCTGAGCTTCTGATACATATATTCCAATTGCTTACTTCACAGCATCTTCACTTAGAGGTCTCTAAGACACCTAAACTCAACAAATCTTAATTCAAACTCATCATCTCCTCTATGAAATCTAACTCTCCTTCCAGTTTCACCTCTTAATGAACAACACCACCATTCATCCCTTCACTTTAGAGTTCCAGCTAATCCCCATACCTATTTCATCATTAAAAATTATTTTCACCTTCTGAATATCACTCATATTAATCTAATTCTCTTCTCAGTGCTACCACCTTTTATTACTTTTTCCTACTTACTACATGCCATTTCAAATACTCCAGTAGTCATATTCCGACACTACAAAGAAACAAGTAAAATTACTTTTGCAATACTTTATTTAACCCAATATATCCAGCGTATTATGTCGCCATAAGAAAAAATACACTGTCGTTAAAGCCTGATAGCGACGTTACACTTGCTCCGACTAGCCACATTTCACGTGCTTAAGTGCCACAAGCAGCTAATAGCTACCATACTGCGCAATGCAGCTCCAATGACATAATTTTTACTTTAAAAACCACTGAAGACACAGTTCTGGCCTGACTGGGCCGAAGTACAATACCATGGCTAAAGCTTAGGACAGTGGCTTCCTTCTCGGTGCGTGTTCCCTCCCCAACCTGGTGTTCCTCATCCCTCTAAACGTACATATTAAGAGCTGGAAGCTTTTGACCTATTTTTCTCTCCTTGTACACGACCCGGCCGACCCCACCTCACTGCACTGTCCCCCTCCCCGCCACCTCCCGCACCATCTCCGCTCCGGCTTGCCTCACCACTCTCCCCACCCAAGTTCTCAAAATAATTCCTCACCAAGTCCTGTCGCAGGGGACCCCAAAACCACTGGACGGACAGAAACAAAGCCAATACGTCTATGTTTACTTCCTGTATTCCCCGCTTCCCGGCAGCCACCGCGGAACACATGCGCACTAACTACTCTTTGGGTCTCACGAGCCCGAGACTTTGGTCTCGCGAGATCTCGAGTTTCGCCACCATTCAGACTCCCTCGTACCTATAGTGAAAATTTTTTCAAAACCCAAATTTGTTCATATCTCGTCCCACTACCCAAACTTAGCACCTTCCAAAGCAGCGCTGTCCAAGAGAACTATAAATCCAGCTCTAGATGTCATTTTAAATATTTCAGTATCCATATTATGACAATGGATACAGGTAAGATTACTTTTGCAATAATATTTAACTTAACCTAGTATATCCAGCATATCATTTCGCCGTAAGAAAAAAGTAAACTAAGTCTTTAAAATCTGATATGGATATTACAGTTGCTCAAACTAGCCACATTTCAAGTGCTTGCAGAGTACAAGTGCTTAAGAGCCACTAGCAGCTAATAGCTGTCGTAATAGGTAGAGCAGCTCCCGTGACATACTTTTTTCTTTAAAAACCACTAAAGACACAGTCCTGGCCTGACTGGGCCCAAGTACATATCTGAGGATTGGGATGGCGGCTTCCTTAAAGGTACCCGTTCCCTGTTCCCTCCTCCACCTGTCATTCATCTCCCCTTTGAGGATGTACCTAAGAATTAGAAGCCTTCTGCCCATTTTCTGAGGGTCTCTGGCTTCATCTCTCTCCCCATAACCTTCTCCCTCCTCCTACCTTGTTGGCTGCCGCCTACCGCGAAGCTGGATTTAATTAAGGTTGCAGCCTCTCCCAGAAATACAATCTAATCATCCAGTCTGGAATTTTCTGATCTAGGAGAGCGGACTGAGACCTTTGTAGATTTAAGAAAAGAGATTTATTTGGACCCGTCTGAGGACATTGCTTGCGAGCAGAGTTCGGGATGTTTATATAGGCAGGAGGACAAAGGAAAATACAACTGCATCAGCTGTTTTTGTTAGTTACATATATTCATAGAGTAATAGCTTTACATCAGGTGGAGAGAATATATCTATTTATTATCGAAGGTAAGGTCATCAAGCACCTGGAGAAGGTTTCTCGCAGCAACTATTTTTTTACGTTTTTACGATGTGGAAAGAACAGGCACTGGCTGGCTTCTATAATCATTTATCTTTTTAATTGGAACTATTGGAAGGTATATGTGGCTAGTCCCAGGGAAGGTCTTGGTGAGGAATTTACTGTATTGCCTTGGTTACTGATCAACTTTCAGTAGCAGCTGAGACACTCTTTCCTTTCTCAAGTCCCAGTGAGGCTATCTGTCACATGGGCACTCTTCATCTGTTATCCCCTTGGAGAGAAGAATCTATCTGCATGATGAAAACTCTCCCCTTCTTATTCCAGCGCCCTGCCAAAAAGATGTCCTGGCCTCCAAATAAGTCTTTCCTCTCTTTTGTTAATATCTCCCTTGCCCCATCCTTCTTCCTATATAAACCTGTCAAATGCTCTTGTAATGGTTAGGGGGGATGCTGCCTGATTCATGAGTCATTAAATAAAGCCAATTAGATCTTCACATTTACTCAGCTGAATTTTTTTTTTTTTGGTCCCATCTGTTCTGGTCATTTTATAAAAAATTGTCAAAATAACATGTATTCCTTTAAAAAGTAAAAGTGAAAATAGTTAACATTTTTGCCTCAATAAGATAGCCCATTTTAATATCTATTTTTTTTTCTTATTAGGAATTTGCAATGCCTAGAGTTTAGGAATGTAAATATTAATTTTGATTCTATAGGGCAGTCGATGAAAGAATAAAGTGTCAGAGAATAGCCTTAAAGCGAGTAGTCTATGAATCACCCACACTTGGTTTTTATCTTCTTAAGACAATTACTGAAATTTGCTTGGAAGTGCTGAGGTCTATTAGATTCAAACCACCAGGCACAAGCCAGAGAGCTCCCCTCCCAGAGGAAGCATAGAATGTGGTGGACAAGAGTGCCAAAACTTTTCTAAGGTTTGGATTCCTCCCTGGAGGATTGATTCTGAGGAGGGTTTAAGGAAGCAGTTCTGAATGGGTTTCTCTTGTAAATCAGGATCAGGATACACTGGGGTGGATTAGGATCTAGGTGCTCTTAGGAAGTGAGGGTGGTGTAGCAATTGGGTATCCCACGAATAATTTGGAATAACAAAGTGGGTCTGAGGCATCATTAATAAGAAAACAGTGGTCACTCAAAGAGGAGGTGGTTGTGGCATTTTCAGTTACTGAATGACCTTGGGAAACAGCACTTCCTGTTATAAGGGGAAGACTTGCCCCAGGGAGATACAAACCTTGCAGCCAAAAACCTTAGGAGATAGAGGATCCCCACTTGGAAGTTGTAAGCAATGTACAGGTTTGGTTTCAAAAATTAACACTTTTGTGTGCCGATGATATAATATGGACCTGAGACATGTAGAAGGTGGTACAGGGAGAGAATAAGGGAGAGGGTGGGGATTATGGAAGAGGTAATAAAGGTATGCGTGGTTATTTGATCTTTTCTTCACCTTCTTGTGTTAGGATCCTTTCTTCCGGATGCATTAAACAGCATTCAGTAATTGTTTACTGAATGAATCATTGAGTCAATTTTGGTCCTGAAATGCCAGGGAAGAAGGGGCAATGAGCTGCCGTATTTTGAGAACCATGTCTATGCCAGTCCCTGTTAAATGATAGACTTTTTAAGGAAGCCTGAATTGTGTGTTCGGTAGGATCATCATTTTGTTCCTAAGCCAGCGATTCCTGTTGCCATACTAGAAAAAACATCCTAGCCTGAAATGTTGAGGAAGGGCCTTCAGCTAGGGACTAATCAGTCCATTTTTAATCACAATAATAATAAAATGACTCAAATATTGCTGTTTGATCTATCTGTACTTACATTTTTTTTCCTTAATTTTTAATTTTGCTCTGCTAGTGTTCTTTCAGCCCTGTTTGGGTTGGGATGTTTTCCCCACCTGACTACGTATTTTTTCATATTTCTAATTGAAATAGAACTATTATATGTCCATTTTTACTTAGTTATTTTCCTGAAGACTGCAATGCTTTTTTACTCCAGGATGCCCCTTCTTTTTTATTTTATCTGGTCTATTTACTTTCTGGACGAATAGTTGATTAGTGGAAGACTTTAGAAAAGTAGTTCTGTTGCCAATTACTTTTTGAACCTCACAACCATTTCATTTAAGAACATCTTGGCCCCTCAAGTGTCATGGGAAAACAAAACTATATCCTGATATCATAATAATCATCATAATTATTTGTCATTGGAGACCATATTTACTCCCCTTATATCTGTGTGGGGGGCACTGGTTAAAAATAAAAAAGACCTAAAAGTTCATTTTTAAGGTGTCTGGAGGTTTGATTTTTTTTCTTCCGAAGAAACAAGCTATAATCTAAACCCGAGATTATACAGCTCCAGGGAAAAAGCTTTCGGGGCGGAGCCCAAGGAGTTTAGGTTCCTCTCATTGGTCCTTCCGGCGAGCCTCCTTCCCACTCCGGTCCCGTCTCCTGGGCGGATGAACCAATAGGGATGTGAGTTGTTGTTCAAATGCCGGCCGGGCGAAACGGCTGGAGGCTGAAGCGTGGGTGATTTTGGTTGTTGATCTTAAGGTGGGCGATTGGAGAGGTCGCGAGTGGTTGGGCCGGAGGGTGGGTTCTGGCGAGGAAAAACGCGTATTGGGGTTGGGGGCCGGAGACTGGGAGCCGGTGCCAGGGAGCGGCAGGGTGCGGGCAAGGGCCGGGTACTCGGGAGGGTGGGGGTGGGTCAGGGTCAGGGTGTTTTGGGAGTGGTGGAGCGAGGACCAGGGGCCCGGGGCTTGGGTTTCCCGAGTCTGTAGCGCCGAGCCGGGTTGAGCCGCGTCCTTGGACTGTATTGCAACCTCCGACGGTTCGGTTCTGATAAGTACTGGTGTCTCTGCCGGCTTCAAACCGCCAACTCTTCTGGAATTTAGAGTCTCTGACGCATCCTTCAAAAGTTAGCTGGATTTAAGTGCCCGTTGGCTCAAGCTCGGGCTTCTCTCCGCTTAATGGAAAGTTCGGTCTGTGCTACCCCTTAGTTCGCTCGTCTTCCCCAACACCGAGGGTCTAATATGTATTTCATACCCCTAGTTGATCCAGAATGGCTACTGTAATCTTTGTGGATAAGGAAAACGGAGAACCGGGCACCCATGTTACTCCTAAGGACCGGCTGAAGCTGGGGCCCCGGCCAGGTAAGTATACAGGCTGCAATCAGATACACAGGTATTGTGGATCAATTGTGGGCGTGGCCTGGAGCCTAGGGAAGCATTTAGTGTACCTTTTGGGCAGTTGGAGGCAAGTTTGCTGAATACAGACATACCTCCTTTTATTGCACTTTGCAGATGTTGCCTTTTTTTTTTTTTTTTTAATTAAAGGCAAGACCCTCCCTCGAGCAGAAAGATTATGACTCGCTTTATACTTGCTCTGTTGTTTTCGTCTGCAACCGAACCTGTAATATCTCCGAGGTATTCCTATACTGCTATTACAGGGTGCTTGTTGTGAGTCTGTCATGTTCAATATTCAAATGAGATTGCCAATTGCCCTGCCACTGTCAAGAATGGGGGTTAAGTTTGCAGTGAGAATTAGGCCAAGTTTATACACAGTCAGCCTTCAAGTTGCACGGATGTGTATTGCCCAAATAATCTTATGGTACTTTTTTTTTTTTAAGCAGTCAAAGCTTTAGATGGGAGATCTCAGGTTTCAACATCACATGTTGGCAAAATGTTTGGTGCTCCACCTGCCTTACCTAAAGCTCCCAGGAAGGCTTTGGGAACTGTCAACAGAGCCACAGAAAAGTCAGTAAAGACTAATGGACCTCTCAAACAGAAACAGACAAACTTCTCTGCTAAAAAGGTAAGATTGTCTATAAAGACACTAAGTTTAAACACTTCAGCACTTTTGGCTCTTAAAATGACTTGGCATCCTATCTGGCTTTCTTCCCAGTGAGTAGGGCAAATACAGGCTACCTAACATATTGGCAGAAGGGAATCATACTGTTTTTGTGAACTTCCTCTGTACCTCAAGATCAGAATGCTCTGAAGCTGCTGGTGAATATTTTTGCCTCACCTGCCTTTAACGTCTTGAAGCAGGTTGGTTGGCAGTACAGGCTTACCTCAAAGATACTGAGGGTTGGGTTCCAGGCCACCATAAAATGAAGTGTCGCCATAAAGCAAGTCCTTTTCATGGAGGGTCTCGCTTTCAGTTTGCTTAAAAAAAAAAAAAATCTATGAAGTGCAATAAAACGAATGTGATAAAATGAGGTATGTCTGTATCTACTTACACATACGGGAAGTGCTTTGCATATAACAGCTCAGGTGCTGCCATTCTCCACCCCACCTCCCAGAGGAAGGACCAGCCCCTTAGGGGATAACTTGCTAGCACGTTGACCTTTGTGTTTGAGCTAGCTACAGGTCAGTGCATCCCAGGCTGAGAGAGATGACTTGGGTGTGTGGATTAACACTGTATTTGAATAACTGTTTTGTTTAATGTGTATTAAGAAAGAACAATTAATTAAAGTAACATTGAAGGAAACACATGGAAAATCACACTTCCAAAAGCCAAAAAGTGGCGTTTAGGATTAGCTTGCATTCTGGCTGACTCAGGCCCCTTTACTCCTCTGTTAGGCTGAGTAATTGAGTTAATTGCCTCCGCTCTGCATTCCTGATGGCGTAGGCTGACAGGAACTGATACTTAAATTTCAGGCTTAACTTTTGAGCTGCACTGCTAGAATTGCTCGTCGAATTGTATTTGTGTGTAATCATAGAACTAAGGATAAAAAAATAATTAAAAAAAGAGATAAGGATCACGGTTCTTAGAAGTCAACATGAAATTGAAAAAATTTAAAATGTGGTGAAGCCTTCACGTGCCTTTTTTTTTCTTTAAGAAATTTATTGATTTGACAGAGCAAGAGGAAGGGAGGGAGAGAGAAAGAAATATTGATTTGTTGTTCCACTTACTTATCCATTCATTGGTAGCTTCTTGACTGGAGATCAGCAACCTTGGTGTATCAGGACGATGCTCTAACCAACTGAGCTACCCAGCCAGGGCAGCAGCCTTCACATGTCTTGAAAAGGCTCTCTCACTGACTCATGTTTTCTTGGCTTGTTTTAGGTGACTGAGAAGACTGTTCAAGGAAAGAGCTCCGCTCCTGCTTCAGATGACACCTATCCAGAAATAGAAAAATTCTTTCCCTTCAATCCTCTAGGTAATATCCTTTGGTATTACAGAAATGCTTTGGCCTTGAATTTCTCTTAGAATCCAATTCAGCTGTAACTTGCTCTAGATACAAATATGACACATGACCCAAAACTATAATGAGACTGTCTGAATCTGGGTCACTTTGAACAAATATACTTGTTAGTAGATTTATTTGTAAGGTACCATTTTTAGGTCAGAAGGGGAATTGGAGCGACAATGTGGAGAACACTTTCCCTCCTAGGGGAAGGAAGGCGTGTTCACTAACAAGTCTGCAGCAGACAGCCCTAGTGAGTCTGTTAGAAAGTGGGCTTTATATCAAATTGAACAATGGTGGAAAACTTCACATAGCTAGTGAAAACATGAAAGTTTTCACTTTTTCAGCCTGCTCCATGTATCTGAAACATTTTTATTATAGAACCAGCTTTTTTAGCTTTAATTTACTCTCATTTGAAGAGAGGCTACTGTATGCCAGGCCGCGCCCTGTGGGAGCCCATGATACAGAGGGAAGGTCCAGCTCTGAAGAAATCATCACAGTGAGGGTGAGCAAGTAGAAAAACAGGGCCTGTTAGGGGGATCCAGACCTAGCCTGGAACAGCAGGGAAGCTTTCACGAAGTGGAGCCTTGCAGGCCATAAGGAGACAGCTGGGTGAAGAAGGGGACCGGTGAGGCCAGCGCATTGTATGCAGAAGTGTGTGCAAAGGTCCTGAGGTAGGAGGAAGGACCGGTGTGGATCGGGGGAGCCGAAAGCAGAGTGAAGGACACAGGTGAAAGCAGTGGGGGCAGAGCAACCAGGGTTTCCTGGCTTTCTCAGCTGGACTTTTTGCCCTTTCACCCAAAGGGCATCTGGTCATTCTACTAGTATACATTCCGGTTGTTTGTGGCTTTTCTACATTGCAAACAATTCTGCAGTTAGTATCCTAGAAGTGACTTTGTGAGTTTACTCAGTGAGTAAACTTTAGGAATTGCTGTGTCTCGAAGGGAAGGGTATGTGATGACGCTCGGATAGCATCTGTGCTGATGGTTACCATTCAGACATTAAGGAAATGAGGTAGGTTTATGCCTGTGGCCAGGAAGGAGGGCTCCAGTATGTTGCGATTCAGGAAAGACACATGGCCAACTTGTCCTTTAAAATAGGAGCATAAGTGCCTGAACCCACCTCCTGCTTCCCCCATGTCCTCTAACTGCAAATGTTTTACAACTCTGATCTTTATCAGAAATGCAGTGGGTATCTCTCTCCTTTAAATAGAGGTGTGGATAAAAAGCACTGCGCCTTAGCATGGATCAGGGCAAGGGGCAACACGCTATATTTAGTAGTCACTCTGTCCCTCACTACCAATACGCCCAAGTAAGGGCGTATAATTGGCCATTTGTAGTTATTTTAACTTCTGTTTGTATTTTTGTTTTCCTTTGATAATGTGACTACTTTTAAGAGATATTAGTGGAAATTAGCCCTGTTATGTTGCAGACTTGTTTCCTCTTGAGTCTTTTGTCTGTTTATGGTTTTCTTTACAATTCAGTGGTTTTAAATTAAGTAGTCACTGTCAGTTCCTTTTTGACTTCTGGGTCTTACCAGGCTTCAAAAGGAGTAGGCAAATTCCTAGTACTTAGGCTTTAGAGAACTTTCACACTTCTCGGTGTATCTGGACAACGCTTTAACCCACCGAGCTGCCCGGCCAGGGCCCTCTTTGTTCTTATCTTGTGAGAAAATGGTTAACCTTGAAAAGAGGAAAGATTCAATATTTAAATCCGACTTTGTTACTGTCAAGAAAAACCAGTTTTCAATAACTAACACACTGGTTCTCAAATTTTTGTTTAATTACACTTTTGCACTCTTAAGGAGGACCCCAAAGAACTTCTGGTTGTGTGTTCTGTTTATATTTCCTGTATTAGAAATTAGAATGGAGATATTTAACATTATTAATTGGTTAAAAAATAATAAAACTATTATGTTAATATAAATGACTTTAAAAATATAAATTTTCAAAAAAAACTTATTGAGAAGATTAGCATGGTTTTATATTTTTGAAAATTTGCTTTATTTGGCTTAATATAAGACAGCTGGATTTTCCTGATGTCTGCATTCAGTCTGTTGCATCTGTTTCAGTTAAAGTGTTTGAAGAAAATCTGGCCTCTTGCAGATACCTAGTTAGGAAAGGGAGAGGCGTTTAATAGTCTTTGCAGATAAGTATAGTTTTCTTTGATACTATACTAAAATTCAATCAGTGGCTCTGAAACCGTATCAATAAACATTTTGTACTCTGACAATAAAATGCCTTGGTCTTCTTGGCACTTCAAATATGTCCTTTATCCTTGCATTCATCACACATTGGTCACTGAGGAATATTGGTTTATTGAAAAAGGTAGATTAACCAAATGTTGAAATGGTTCATTATGCAATACCAGTAGCACCTTCTTTAACAGCACCACTGATCTCATCAGAAAAGTATTATGTAAGAGGGAGCTGTCAAGCTAATGATTGCAGATAAGTTCTCCAAAGTTCTAGGTTTTTCTTGAAATTGTGAACTATTATTGGCAGCAAACACTGTTTTTCCTGAAGGGATAGATTCCTTTCATTCCTTTGAGAAAATGTGCAACTCACACCCAACTCTGAGTAACCATAGTTTGTCCTCCAGTTCTTTCAACTAAACGTGTTTGGAAAAAGGCCTGTAGTTTAGCTTGCAAGTCAAACAATTGCCCAAATCCTATTTCTTTGAGATCACCATTGTACTTCAGTATGCAGCAGAGTGCTTTCTGATACACTTCTTATTTTATTGTACAGAATATTAAAAGGATATGTCCTCAAAGATCGAGAGCTAAAAAAGTTAATACTTTCTCTTGTATATGGCAGAATGGTATGTGAAACTGGCATTTTTTTTTTTTTTTTTTTACTGCAGGTGAATGGTAGTGAGGAACAGAGTGACTACTAAATATAGCGTGTTGCCCCTTGCCCTGATCCATGCTAAGGCGCAGTGATTTTTATCCACCATTGCTTTTGTGCCATCCTTGCAAATGTCAACACAGTGGGAACCGGTGTTAATGTTATTAGAGAAGTAGTTTTGACCTTGTGAACCTGCTGAAAGGGTCTGCAGGCTCCCAGGAGGCTACTGACCAGACTGAGAATTGGCGCCCTGACAAAATCCTTTGTGTTCGTGGCAGACTTTGAGAGTTTCGACCTGCCTGAAGAGCACCGGATTGCCCAGCTGCCCTTGACCGGAGTGCCTCTCATGATCCTCGATGAGGAGAGGAAACTGGAAAGGCTGTTACACCTCGGGCCCCCTTCGCCTCTGAAGATGCCCCCGCCACTGTGGGAGTCCGGTAAGTGAACAAGGGCCCTTCTAGAAGGGCCCCAAACAGTTAGTGCCGTGACACCTGCATCCTCGCGGGGACAGAGTTGTGTGAAAGGTTAGCCTGCCAGTAATTTCTGTCCTTCAAACTTCAGGATGAGGTTTCAAAATAATGAAAACTATTCTCAATTGGTATTCCTTTTTAGTTCCAAATGCCCAGGTAAAATCAAGTCATTCTGGAATCCGGACAGCTGTAGATACAGCAAAGCGAGATTGAATTTAGCATAGTTATAAATTGAAGTAAAATAAACTTGCTTGAAATGAGAATTCCAAGTTATATCCAGAGCTTGTACAGGATCAAGACACCTGTAAAATAGCACAGAATGACAATAGTACTGCACGAGGTTTGACGTCTTGGCTCAAGCTCGTGGTGAGACGCCCTCATCAGTGTTTTCTATTTGTTCTGATGAGATAACTTACACTATTTTTATAAATTCACATTATTGATATTGTTGGCTCATGTGTGTAGGTGGGGCGGGCATAGGGATTCAGTAGACAAGGGGAAAACAATCAATGATTAAAAGCGACAACTGATGTCTGTGTTGAGATGGGCAACTAATTGAGGGTTTGCAGATATTGAATACGAAATTCCTGTTTTCTAGATCCGTTGCAGTCTCCCTCAAGCATTCTGTCGACTCTGGATGTTGAATTGCCACCTGTGTGCTATGACGTAGAGATTTAAGTTTCTTAGTGCTTTATAGTTTGTGTGTATGTATTAACAGTTTGTATTAATAAAGCAATTCTTTAACAGACTCTTAATATTGCAGTTGATATTTGTAATTTGCTTAAAACAATATAAAAACTAGTATCAATAGAAGTGTTAATAGGTAAGAATCTATAATCTGACAATAGAAGTTTGTCTGATTTGAAAAATTTACCGTACAACCCTTTGGTTTGTTTTAACAGCTTATTTTAGAAGCTGCCACTGTTTTCCCTGAAACATACACCCCTCAATGTGTATTTCAATGTGTGTTTTATTGCCTTTTTGTGGCCATTAACTAGTGCCAGTCGTTAGATCTCTTAATTAGAAGAGCCACTTCAAGCTTGTTAAGTATCTGTTGCTAGGCATTCTTTATTGCTGGTTCTATTTAGTTTCTAATGACTTGAATACCCAGTATTCAGTGATCAGAATTGGAAAGGCTCTAAATCTCCTAAGAAGTCCACCTCCTTGGGATCTTCAGTTAGGTTCTTTGAAGATCACAGCAGGTAATTTACTGATGGTAAGATCTCCTTTTTACCTATGGGAAACTATTTAGTTGCTTACCCTGTGTTGGGAATTCTTTTGTGTTAAATAAGCATTGTGTTTCACGTTTATGACTGTATTTTTGAGATGAGAATAGTAAAGCTCAAAATTTCATTGATATGACAAAGACATGATGAGCTAGAAAATAATCTGAGTAGAGCTGGTATTTTGATTCCAAATTTGATGCTGGACTCAAAATATCAGAGATTTTAAGTGGTGCGATGGAGACTTGATGGAGAAGTGTTCTTGGCAGAGGGAGCAGCCAGGGCGCAGGAGAACACAGCTTAGTAAGTGGAAACTGCCTTCTTCTTCTCCTTATTCCTCTTCCTCCTCTTCTTCCTCCCCCTTTTCCTTTCCTTCCTCCTCCTCCTCCTCCTCCTCCTCCTCCTCCTCCTCCTCCTCCTCCTCTTTTTTTTCTTCCTCCTCCTCCTTCTGGTTTGGGCCACAAGTGTAGTTGGGAACAAGCGAGTCTGGAGAACAGAGCTGGGGCCAAATGGCTTTGTAAACTATGTAAGGGGGTTTAGAGTCTGAGTGAGGAGTATTGGGTGCCATAGAAAGGTTTTAAGAAGCAAAGAGATTGTGAATTTTGATGCATCTAGAGATTCGTGCAGCCGCGCTGCAGTTAGGATGCAGGACAATTGCATCACACACCCCACCTGACTCCATCTGTCTCCACGCAGCAGGGGTCTGCGAGCCACACCCGAGTCAAATCTGGCCTGTGGCCTGATTTCTTAGGGCCCGAAAGCTAAGAAAGATTTTTATATTTTTAAAATGTTGTAAAAAGGACAAAGCAACAAACAAGAATAAAAAGACGCATACGCCACAGAGGCCATATGCAACCCACAAAACCAAAAATATTTATTATCTGGCCCTTTGTAGAAAACATCTGCTGACCTCTCCTTTATGGTCACCCACTTGTCGCACCCCTAACCCTCGGAAACCGCTAGTCTCTGTCGCCGTTTTGTCTTGTGGAGAGTGCTGTGGGTTCGCAGCGCGTGGGGTGTTGCCTTTTGAGAGGTTGGAAAGCAGTGCCTTTGGGGTTTGTTCATCTTGTATTTGTCAGCAGTCTTCCGTTTCTGTTGCTGGACATGCCACGACTTGTTTGTTCATTCGCCTGTGGGGGGACATTTGCGTTGTGGCCGGTTTGGGCATTTATGAATGGAGCTGTTGTGATTATCCATGGACAGAATTTTGGGTGAATAGAGGGTTTTGTTTCTCTGGGCTAGATGCCTAGGAACGGATTTGCTCATTCATAAGATAAGTGTATGTTTAACGTTATAAAAACTATCAAACTTTTTCAGAGTGGCTGTACTAGTTTGCATTGCAACAAATCATGTCTGAGAGTTCCAGGTGCTTGCATCGTTGCCAGCACTTGGTATTGCCACTTTTATATTTTGGCCATTCTAATTGGGATGTAATGTTTCCTTGTGGATAATGATGTTAAGCATCTTTCCACGTGCTTATTTGCGGGGTGGGAATAGAAGGAGATGGGAGTAGACCGTTTTCCCGCCTGTGCAGTGCTCGGCTGAATACTAGAGAGGGACCCTGTGCGAGTGTGCACGGTCTCTCCTCTCCAGTGCTCTGCCCTGCAAACTCCAGCTGCCTTGGTCTCCCCTGACTGCTCTCTCTCAATGCAGGGGGTTGGCGTGGGTCCGCTTTTCTTCCTCACCCGGGCAGTCCTAGGATGTACCTCATTTATTTCCCATCCTTTAGGAGTCGCTGTCCTTCGTGGCCTGCTGTTTGTTTTCTTGGGAACCACTGTTTGATAGATTTGTCCTGTTTATTAGTTGTTTCAAGCAGGAGGGTAAATTGGTCCTGGGTAACTCCATCTTGATTGGAATTGAAAGTTCCTTCCAGGTGTCACTTACCTTTTTCTTTTTTAGCTGAGATAAAATTTATACAACATAAAATTTACCATTTTAACCATTTTAAAGTGTACAATTCAGTGGCTTTTAGTCCATTCACAATGCTGTGCTACCATCACCACTGTCTAATTTCAGAAAATTTCATCACCCCAGAAGAGAGATCCATGCCCATTAGGCAGCCATTCCCCATTAAATTAAATAAAATAATTAATTTTTAAAGGTATTTATTTATTTTTAGGGGGTGAGCGAGAAAGGGAGGGAGAGAAATATTGATTGGTTGTCTCTGGTACGCACCCTGATCAGGGGCCAAGCCTACAACCTGGGCATGTGCCCTGACCTGTGACCTTCTGCTTTGCCGGATGATGCCCAATCCACTGAGCCGTGCAGGTCAGGGTGGCTTATTTACTTTTTAATGAAGCCCTGCTGCTCTCGGGATCAAGCCCCAAGGCGCGCGACGGCTCCTGGGGAGATGACGTGTGAGCGCTCCCCCGGAAAGCTCCTCTGATGGCCTGGCGCACACACCTGTCCATCCTTGAGCTCTGCACCGAGACACTTTCCCAGGGAGCCTTTCCTGATACCCCAGGATTGGATGGGATGCCTCCTATTTGCTCACTTAACCCCAGACTCTCAAATGTCTCCTAGCGTTTCCCATGCCAAGCGGCGTCTGCCCGTTTGTCCGGCTGTCTCTTCTGCCACACGAGGCTGAGGCCTGTCCTGTTCATTGTTGTAAGCTTGGGTCTGGCATGTGGCAGGTGCTCCAGTATTTGAGAAAGGAATGAATATGCCAACAATCCCTGGGGATCCCGGTTCCTAGGGACCCAGTGACTGTGCTGTGCACTCTGTGGGCATCGTGCAGCGTCAGGGCCAAGGAGCCTTCCTTCCCCACAGGTTTCCATGGAGACTGTGCCTGGGTAGAGCACAGGCCCAGTGGCCGGCTTCGCGTCCCCTGCCACACAGCTCTGACCTGTTTGTGTCCTCGTGGCCCTGCCCATCTCCCTTCTGAAAAGGTCCAGGCCGTCAGAGTGGAAACATGAACTGGTTTTCTTTCTTCAGTAACTGCTAACAACGGTGTTTTGTTGACCTCTCTTCCCTGCTGGGTAGTGGGCAATGCTTAACAGAGTCTCAACAGATTCCATAGCTTTCCAGTTGCTTTTGGTTAAAGTTCAGTTTGGCTTGGAATGTAAGCCTCAGCCCTGCTCATTTTAAAACTTCAGCCTCAGACTCATGCAAGCTGTCCTATTCCCTCCCCCAGCCCAGGCGGGGCACGTGGTAATGTTCTCTCCACAGCCCCGCCCCCTGCAGACAGCGGTGGTGGGGGGCCCCCACTCCTCCTGCAGCCCAGGGCCAGGGAGGGCGCTGGAGGGAGAAGAGACTCTGCTTGTGGGACAGGCCGCATCGTGGTCATGGCGTGTCCTGGCTTCATTCTGGGTGCGGGGCTTCGGGCCATGCTGGTGGCCTCTGCGCCCTGCGGGGGTGGGGGGGTGGTGTGACCGCTCGTTTCATCACGTCTGTGGACCCCATCCCTCCTGAAAATGGCGCCATGCCTCTTCCCATGCCTTGCCCAGGTGGCATCTCCTATTGCTCTGTCTGGGGCCATCTGTGGCCTCTGCCCTTCTACCCGTAACTACTGGGGTCCTGGTCATACACTCCCCAGTGTACGTGAGACAGAGAAAGGGATGGGGTCAAGGGCTCCTGGGCACCCCGCATCCGGATCTTCAGGCACCGCAGCTCTGGGCTGCTCCAGCAGGTGAGAAATCTCTGGACCAGGAGCAGACACCAGTGTTCAAGTTCAAGTCCCCACATGCAGTGATCCCCCTTTCCTCCCCATATTGTGGTAAGAAGACAGAAACGGACACACCATGTCCTCAGGCCCTCAGAAAGCTCCTCCAAGAGCCCTCTCACCCCACTTGGCTCCGTTGGTGGCACGAGGTGGGCCTACAACTTCTGAGCTCTCCCTTTCTTACAGGTCCAAATCTTCACATGTGGTTTGTTTAGAACGACTGTTGCCTACAGGAATGGGGGAACCCTCCCTCTCACCACAACGTGGCTTTCCCCTGCAGACACCAGAAGGCAAACCCTGCCCTCTCTCCTGAAGGCGGATGCTCACAGGGCTGGTTCTGGCATCTTGGCGAGCCCACAGCTCACTTTAGAATATGCTGCATTTAGTTAGCGGCTTTTGGGGACTTGGGCCACTTGTACCTATGCTCAAGCCAGAGGAGCAATCAGATTGCAGGACTTCCATTCCTCTCCGGCGAGAGGAAGCGCCTGCCGAGGGGTTATCTTTGTGTCTCCAAGTCCAAGGCCTTGCCTTGGGTGGACAGACAATGAGTCTGTGGAATTACGTTACAGCAGTTAGTATGACAGCCAAGTGGCTTGTGCAGGCTCCCAGGAGGATTTGTGCCTGCATTCCTTGTAGAGAGGCCTCTCCTTCCTGGAAAAGGGGCCCAGAGTGACAAACGCCTCTTCTTCAAGCACACAGTGGAACAGGCTGCAGGCCCTGCCTTCTGGAGGTGGGAGGGGTTTCCATGGTGATGGCACATACCATGCTGCCCCACTGCAGAGGGGGAGCTGCCTGCCATTGGTCTGCTGCTAAGAGC